CATATTACAAAATGTGACGTGCTGTACATTGGTGGACATAGACAAGTATATATACTGTAGGAACTGCAGTGAAATGTGTTGCATTTAGGTATTTGTTACTGGTATAAAAAGTGGAGCAGCTACACCCCTCCCTCTCAACTCTTCCTTCTCTAAAGGTTCCTAAATCCTGAAGTTCATCTGTATATGGTAAGTGCAAGTGTGCTTGCATAGCTCTGCTGTGATACATGGGCCTACAGTGTCTTATTTAAGTGCTATTTCCTGGTAGAATAGATTATTTTTTCTAACACACCAGTGTTATTCCAGGATCGCCAGAGACGGATGCCCGGAGCCAGAAGAAACTGGATCCCCCACTCTGTGCAGACAGTAGGCTATGGCTGAGCTGAAGTTTCGATCTCCCCTTGAGCTGCCCAGATGCCTGATGCTGTGTTGGAGACAGACGGGCGGGCACAGAGCCACTCCTGGGATCCTGGGGCAGGCTGCAACAGACTTTGGGCAGGTTTGAACCTCACATCCAAGTCTCTATGCACTGTGCTTTAGTAAAAACAGTATCTGTGCAGAACAAGCTGGCTAGGTAGATGTTGTTAGCTCTGCTAACTCTTCAGATGATTTCTTCTCATTGTGTTTAAAGTGCCTTAAAGGGTTTGCCCTGCAGGTACGTACTGCCTCTAGGTACAAACCCTAGATTAGTATAGATGATTTAAACACCTGCACTATTCTGTATTTATTAATGGTTAAAGGGACATTAGAGCAGTTTCTAGTCCCCCACAAATGAATTAGTACCTATTAACAGTGGTTTGTGGTTGTAGACAAGTGTCGAAACATGCAGCAGTTAAACCAAGGACAGACCAACAGAGGTAAAGCAGTCTCTCTTCCCCAGGTATATCTTGGCAAACCCCTCCTCTAGTTTGAGATGAATCCAGCAGAATAACACTGTCCTCCCCCCGTAAGTAAAATTCCACTGTGTGATGATTGTTGGGTTCCAGTAAGCACCCCCTGTTGGTTCAGCTCCTTTAGCACGATACCATACAGTGCTTTGATATTTCCATGTCCCTTCAGTCAGAGTTTGTGCACATAGTTGACAGGAAATGTTCCACTCCTGGACGGGTCCCCCTCTATGTGGCCAACCTGGAATAACATATTTTTGAGATGAACATGTATGAGAAGTCCATACTTTACACTCAGTTGGAAGGTGTTTAGGTTCACCTAGATAAACATTAACCAACAGTGTTTATGTTTAAACTTAAGTAATTTTTATGCCTAAGCTTAATGAAACATTGATGATTCAATACTCATAAGTGTGTTTGATTGTTTCCACAGTGACAGGTCTGGAGCACACGCTGCTGCAAGGACAAGTGGTGTACACTGTCATTTAGGCTGGAGGATTTGTTGGTGCTGCAATAAATCCTCCCTCTCTGAGGGAGATTATGGAAATGAATTGCACTCTCCAAAGGGAAAAAAACCCTGATTTTCTATCTCATAATTACAAGATCTTTCTGTCATAAACAGGAGATAATGCAAGGGTTGGAATGCTGGAGAACTTCTCGGAAAATCATCAGGTTTGAACAAATTCTTTAGTATACAGTAGTGCATAGCAAAAGTCAACTGTTCATAGCTAATTCGGCATACCTAGTGTTCCATAAACAAAGAAATACAGGCTGAGAAGGGGCTTCGAAGATGCCGTCTACACTGAATCATTACATGTACTGAGCAGGAGTTGGAAAGCTTCAGAAACATTGGGTTTTTAAGATTTCTTCAGCATTTCTGTAATTCTGATAGCACATCCAACAGTATATCACAAAATGAATTACCAATAGATAATTTGGTGTGCTTAGTGTTCCAAACAGTGACGTGCGGTGAGGCTGACAGCTGGTGAGGCACTAACTCTTTTACAGTCAGATTTGCAAATACAAATGAACCGTTAACAAATTGTCTGTTAACAGACAATGTGGCCTTGAGGCAGGTGTACCGTTTGCCTCACTGAGTAACTTTTTTACTGGGTTTTATGGTTAATTTGTGAGCCTAAACACGTTGCAGAACTACATTTTATACATTATCCAGATTATGGCAAGGCAGAGCATATAATCAGAGTGTTTGAAAGCATTTTATTTGCGATATATAGAGGGACAGCGACACACTATTTGCATCGCATACAGTTTGTGAGGATTACACGATCCACCGAGAGGCACAGCAAAGTGCTGCCTCATCGCGCATCTCCTCCATGTATTTGAACGGGACATATGGAAATTCTGCTATTCTTTATTGAAAAAAAATTCCTTCAACATCGGATTAGAACGGCAAAAGGGCCTACAACACACACCAGCCGACAAATATTAACATTTATAATATTTTATGGTTAACTTTTTTTTTTTTCTTTTCAAGATTGACAGGGGAGGCTCTGCCTCACCTGACCGCACGTCACTGGTTCCAAAATGTAAATAAATATAGCCTAGGCTAAAAATGGTGCCCAAATTGGAACCCACATTGTAACACTGTATGAACGGCAACATTACATAGCCTATACTTCCTGTTTTTTGTCAAAGTTTGTATCTGTTAACAGGAGTTATGACTTAATGTTTCCGCATTATTTTGAGATCCGGAGTTCCTGATCTCATAATTATGAAATCTTTTCTCATAATTTTGACTTGCTGTCATGTAATTCAGAGAAAAGATCCCATAATTATGAGATCAGAACCTTGTAGTATCCATCAAAGGAAAAAAAAAATTGGAGGATCTTCTCTCGTAATTATGGCTTATTTTCTATATACAGGGTCACGCTGTCTCTTTCAAATTATTAGCATAGCAGTCACTAGTAGCCATTGTGAGGCTCTTGGCCTGGAAGTGCCTGACCGCTGTGTTGCGTTTTATTGTTTTAAATGTCTTTTGAAAAGAGGTTGCTCAGAGTGACGCTTGTCTCCTGCTCTGCAGTTCATCATCCTGGTGGTGGACAGCACAGACAGAGAGAGGCTGGCCATCTTGAAAGAAGAGCTCTACAGGATGTTGTCCCATGAGGTAAAACTGTCATCTCGACACATCTCAGTAGGGAAACACTGCACAGAACTGACTTTGTAATGAACGATGATTGCCTAATATGCTTATTATTATTGAGGTCATAGTTAAAGGTGGTGTTGTATTAGACTATATATTTAGAGGTGTCTATATTTTTGTTCTCTCCAGCTACATACATGAGGGTCAAAATATTAGGAACACCTCTGAATATAATGGTAAATGGTAAATGGACTGTATTTATATAGCGCTTTTATCCAAAGCGCTTTACAGGAGATCATACACCATTCACCCATTCACACACCGGGGTCAGGAGCCGCCTGCCCTACCTCGTGAGCCACAGCCACCCCGATAATGTAGCCCAGTACAACACCACCTTAAACTATGTTCTCTCTCGTTCTCTCTCTCTCGTTCTCTCTCTCTCTCTCTCGTTCTCTCTCTCATCCTGAGCCTCATAAACAACAGATGTTAATGTGGAACTGTTGTACTGAACTGCATACAGTACAATTGTACAGGTGTGACTATAATGTGGTCAGGCACTGTAGCTATTAACAGTTCACTTTTTCATGTAGTTGTGGATGTACTGAATTATTGTAATACTAAAGAATTTGTTAAATCCTGATGACTTTCAGGCAAGTTCTGTAGCATTCCAACCCCGGCATTTTCTCACAATTAAGTCAGTGTTTAAGGAAACATTTGTTTCCCTGCTCAATGAAATTCTTACTTTGCTGTCCACAATGAATGCTGCACAATATAAAGTCTAGTAGATGGATAAATAGTAGTAAATACAACAAGAATATATGCTACATCAAAAAGAGATCGAGATCTTGTAATAAAAAAAAAAAATCCTTGTTTTTTTGGAATGCAATGTGTTTACGTACGCTGCTGTAGGAGATGAGGTGCAGTTTTTGATTCAACTGTATGGCTGTTGATTGTGTACTGCATGATGCTGAGACATTTTTTTTTATTTAGCCAAGCCTCAATATAAATAGGGTGGACAAAATAATAGAAACACCTGTCAGGAAAATGCAGTACAGTTTAACAGCATCTTCCAAAACTTACCATACAGTTGAATCAACACACTACAACAACAAAAAAAACCCTGAACATTATCACCTTCATGAAAGGAGGATTCTTGTAGCAGAATGTAGTTTTTAATCTTGGTGCACATAAAAACTGCCAACTCAGTGAGTGCACTCACCAGCCACTTTATTAGGTACATCTGTACAATTGTATGCACGCCAATGCAACATTTCCACCTGAATATCTGTGTTCATGAAGCTCAAAATGTTTTGGGGTGAAATGGTCAAATGTATAATTGTAATAGTTTATTCAGAGGTGTTCCTAATATTCTGGCCATCATCTATGTAACTGTGGAGGGCAACAATATAGAGACACCTCTGAATATAATGTAGTCCAGTACAACACCACATTGAACTATGACCTCAATTAAACATATTATACATTTGACAATTTCACCAAAAACAAACATTTTGAGCTTTATAAACACGTATTAAGGTGGAAATGTTGCATTGATGTGCATACAATTGTACAGGAGTAACTAATAGGGTGGCTGGTGAGTGTATTTCACTTTACAAATTCAAGTGAAATCCTTCAAATTAAACAGCAGTGGACCGAAATGAAAGCAAGAGGTTGTAGTTGTACTTACCCACCAGTGGGGGTCATTAGTGGCTGTAACTACAATGATTTCATCTTTGTGAAAGGCAAGCTGCTCAGAACTGACTGTTCGGCAGTCCACTAAAGCCTTGACACGCTTCTGATGTGGTCTGCTGCCAGAAACCTGGAGGAGACATGTAATATATTTGTGTGACAACAGAAAATGTATTTTGGCTGTGAGAACTCCAAGGCCTTTTCCCACTCCAAATAAAAAAGTAGTCTTCTAAAATTGAAGACTGTGACATGGAGACCTTA